ATTTAATTGATTAATTGATTAATTGTTTAATTGATTAATTGATTAATTGGTTTATTTTTGTTTTAGTTCATCACTAAAAGTGAAAGGGCAACCCCTAAGGTTACCACATTCACCTTTTGGACTCACATAATAAGGTTAATCAACTTACCTCTTCGGAGGCAGAAACACAAATGAGCCAGAAAATAAAAAATGTAAAGTTTATCGACAAACGAAGACAGTGAAAGGGACGTAGTCTTGAAAAAAAAATTGTAAAATTGAGGGAAACAAATCAGCTAATTAACTCTTTTAAAATAAATATTATCAACTAATCAATATTGGAAAGAAAAAAATTAATAATTAAATCAATCAACTAATTAATTAATTAATTAATTAATTAATTAATTAAGTGAATTATATTTAGATCTAATTCTAAAATTAATATATGAATCTAATTATACTTTAATGATTATACAATGTATTATTAATGAATAAATTCTTTCAATTAATATGAATTGATTTAATTATTAATTTTATTTCGATTAATTAATTAATTAATTAATGATGGATTAATTAATTTGTTAATTTAATTAATATTAGCTCATCACTAAAGGTGAAAGGGCAACCCCGAAGGTCACCACATTCACCTTTTGGACTCGCATAATAACTGTGATCAACTTACCTCTTTGAAGGTAATAACACAAATGAAATGGAAAATAAAAAATGTAAAGTTTATCGACAAACGAAGACACTGAAAGGCGAGTAGTCTTCAATAATGAGGAAAAAAGGAAAATTGAAACAAATAAGCACATTAATTCTTTTGAAATAAGTATTATCAACTAATTAATTTTTAATTGGAAAAATTAATAATTAAATCAACTTATTAATTAATTAATTAATTGCTTAATTAATTATTTAATTAATAAAATGATTAATTAATTTTTTTAATTAAATTCATTTTAGCTCATCACTAGAGGTGAAAGGACGACCCCGAAGGTCACCACATTCACCTTTTGGACTCGCATAATAACTGTGATCAACTTACCTCTTTGAAGGTAATAACACAAATGAAATGGAAAATAAAAAATGTAAAGTTTATCGACAAACGAAGACACTGAAAGGCGAGTAGTCTTCAATAATGAGGAAAAAAAGGAAAATTGAGGGAAACAAATAAGCACATTAATTCTTTTGAAATAAGTATTATCAACTAATTAATTTTTTAATTGGGAAAAAATTAATAATTAAATCAACTTATTAATTAATTAATTAATTGCTTAATTAATTATTTAATTAATAAAATGATTAATTAATTTTTTTAATTAAATTCATTTTAGCTCATCTCTAGAGGTGAAAGGGCAACCCCAAGGTCACCACATTCACCTCATGGACTCGCATAACAAACAAAAACAACTTACCTCTTTGAGGGCAAAACATAAATGACAAAAGTTAAAAGATAGTGAATATTAAACAAGTTGTGATTTTGTGTTTACTAATGAAACAAGATTAATAAAATCAAGATAGAAAAAGCCGAATAAATAAATAAATAAATACAAATAAATTTCAAAATAAGCTAAATTTTTTAATTTAAAAAGTAACGTATAGGATTGGTAGGATAGTGGAAATTAGCTATTAATCCTCTCAGAATCTGTGTTTTTATCAAATCAATTTCAATTAATTCACAACATAGGGAGTAGGAAGGATGATCTTTCGACGGTAATTTCCGTTTGAGGATTTTTGACAGTTCATCAACTCCTGCGGGATTATTGGACCAATTTTTTATCTCTTCCCATCCTGAATTGGTGATTTCCTCCCTGAGTTTTGCACTGCGATTCACTAGAGCAGCCAACCGCATTCTTGCTGTTTCTTGACTTATATTTCGATGCGTCATCTATATGGAGAACTAATTTAGGTTTCAAGAATAAATCAAGTTCATCAAAAATAAAATGTCACTTTTAAAAGTTAATGGTTTAAAATTCATCCAAAATTCACAATTCACATTTTAAAGTTAATCGACTCAAGTTCAAACAGAGTCAACAATTTACACTTTAAAGTTAATCGACTCAAGTTCAAACAGAGTCAACAATTTACACTTTAAAGTAAATCGACTCAAGTTCATCAAAAATACAATGTCGCTTTTAAAGCTAATCGACTCAAGTTCAAACAGAGTCAACAATTTACCCTTACAAAAGTTTATCGTTTAAAATTCATCCAAAATCTAAAATTGATACTTTTTATAAGTAAACGACTCAAGATCATCCAAAATTCACAATTAACAAATTTTTAACTTTTAAAGTCAAATCGTATTTTTAATGTTGACTCGGTCGAGCTTAAACGGAAATGATTGATTTTATAACATTGAGGTAGAACCTGCTCCTTAAATCAACCAATAAATTTTACCAAAACCCAATATAAACACCTGTATAATGAACCAGGGTGCCCTAAAAACACCGGTTCAAACTATTACATTTTCTTGATTTTGGACCACCCTATGTAGAAATAGACTGCTTTAGTTGCCACCAGGGGGCGTTTTAATCGATGCTTGTATCAACCAATCAGAGAACTCCAACTGTGCCAGAGGTTCACTTTTTATACTACTGACAGAAAAGATGAGACCAAAGTTTAAGCCAAAAAGAAACCGAAATCAAAATCAAGATATAAAATCAGAATCAGAATCAGAATTGAATCAGAAATAACAGTTGGAACCAGAATTAGAATCAGAATCAAAACCAGGATCAGAACGAATTGGAACCAGAATCAGTGATGATAATAATAATAAAGTCAATTGTAAATGTTGAATGATAATCGAAAAGTTGAAAAATAAATCACAATTAACAAAAAAATAATCAATGAAACAACAAAAATTAACATTTAGATCAATTGTCTGATCACAATTAACTGATCACAATTAACTAATCACAATTAACTAATCACAATTAACTAATCACAATTAACTAATTAACTTTTTTTTAATTGTTATCAATAAATTAACTTCATCAATTGAAGACCTGGCGAAGACACCAAAATTTGTTGAACAAATTAAATTAACTAATTGCTGATAATCTTGATGATTAACTGATTAATTTTAATCAACAACAATTTTTTTTATACATGAAGATTGAAATTAATATCAATCTTAAGGTTTATATATAAATCTTATTATCATCATTAATTAAAATCTTAAAATTCAATCAACCATATTGATCAAATCGACCATATTAATTAACCATAAGGGTTAATTAATATCAGGTAACAAGGAAAAAATGATTAATAAGTAAACTGAATAAAAGAGACAATAACAATTCGAGTTACTTTTATCGGGATGAATAGCAGAAGTGACAAAATAATGTCCATCTCCACGCCAACAAATTCGCTTTTTCTGATCATCCCAGGAAACTGCCGGTTCCTCAGGCTAAATTAAAACGAAAAAGACAATTAAATCACTGGTATTATAACAAATATTTTGAGTGAATTTACTTCTCCAGTAATTTTAGCAGCTTCTTTTCCTTCTGATCCATGGAATTGCGTTTTCTTTGAGCCCCAACCAACATCCACTTTTTGAATGCACTCAGAGTGATCGGCATAAAGATCTTTTTCAACCAAGACATCGAAAAATCTTGTAAAGAGAAAGAGTTTATCTTTCTTGGAAATTAAAGCGACACTTTCTTGATCAGGGCTTGAAGAAACAGCGGCAATTCCTTCCTCCACAGATCCTACACAATTAATCCGTTTTGATGCAAGTGAACAGGAAAGAATAGCACCATTGTCTAAATAGATATTTAGAGTATCAATTTCTACAAAAAGGTCGATATGTAAAGCTGAAGAGCCAATAGCTCTTTCATGATTGATAAATGTGAGAATTTTCACCTAGAAAAAAAAAGAAAATGAACATTATAAACAACTGATAAACAGACAATGTATGAAATCTCACCTCTTTAGACTTTTTATCTATTGACACAACCTCATTTGATTTAGTTACTGCATAAATTGTATTATGAAAAGAGTCAATGGTAAAACAGGAAAGACCCGAGGATAAATTTGAATCAACGATTTCACTGAAGGATGAAAATTTCAAGTTTTCCATATCTGATATAAAATCAAACAATTAATGTTAATTAGACTTGCTTGACTTGATCAAAATTCTATTTAATTACAAACCTTGTATAAAGATGGAAACCAATAAAGTAGATAAGTGAGGAAACAATTAGCACTGACACAAAATGAAAAAAATGAAAAACTAATTGTTAACATACAATTGGAATGCTAACCAATTTAGTAACAAACAAGTAATGATCACAGGTAAAGATGATGGGATCAAAAGAAGATAGTAAACAAATTCCATTACCTCTAAAAATTCATAATTAACGAAAAAGAGCAACAATCAAATTGAAAATTCAATAAATTAATTCGCTTAACAAAAATTAAGAAAATTTTTTAAGCTCCAATAAAGTGAACATGTGACTCAAAAAGAAAACAAACGTTTGGAGGGACCGATTACTAATTTCGAATCGAATATTCTAACAATTTCTCTGATACGAAAATTAGATTTTAATTGATAAAAGAATTAATTTAATTAGATTTGTATGACCAAATGATAGCAATTTTTCAATTCAATTTATTTATAATTGGTAACATTGAGTGATGAACTTTTTGGTTCAATTAACAAGGGAAATTCAAAGAAACAAATGAATGTTAGACTTTACACCGCACCTAATGAACTTTACAGTGGACCTTCATTCATGTCTGGATATTCAGTCGATCGATCTGCCTGAATTTTGGGAAGAATACAGAAGTTTAGCCCAAAAAGCGGCAAAGGATTTCGTTGAGAAAAGTAAAGAATTGTTTGATTACTTTGGTGTCGATTATGTTGATAAAACACACGCAAAGCAGTTAGGAATTTATATTTACCCTGAACCTTTGAATTACAATGAATTTGGTCCACCAAAGAAAAATTGGATTCGACTTGATTCATCAATTCGTCTCACTAGATCGAGTGAATTTAAAATACCTGAAAAAATTGCTGATAAACCAGGTAAATTAATCTATATTTCTATGGGAACATTAGCCTCAATGGTTCCTGATATGATGAACATGATTTTCAAAGTGAAACTGAATCTTTTCCAGTTAATCATGGAGTTTTTAGTAAAAAAATGTTTCAGCAATGATGAATTAGACAATTGTTTCCATGTTAAATCTTCCAAAAGGACACATTGTCCAAGTGAGTTCTCATAGTAATCAGATGGACAGGACCAGCCACGGACGCAGATTAAGGGACAAGCCCGTTTTTCAGATTGACCACACTTTCGAGGACAAGCACTGCCACAGTCGCTGTAAACCTTGCCAACAATTCGAGGTTTGAATTCATTTGGCCATGAGGGTGATGGATCATTGATGGGGAATGGTGGAGGTCGAGGTCGAGGACGTCCAACAATGTTTCCTGGTAAATGTCGTGGAGGTTCAGTTGTGGTTGGAGCTGAGTCACAATATTCAGGAAGGACACATTTATCATCAGAGTTTTCGTAGTAGCCTTTAGGGCAAGCGAAACCGGGTCTACAAAGAGCATTACAAATTTGTGGCTTGGGACTGGAACATTTCAATGGGCAAGTAGATCCACATTCGCTGTAAACCTTTTCTGCGGTTGGAGGTCGATATACAATGTGACCTGGTAAATGACGTGGAGGCTCAGTTGTGGTTGGAGCTGAGTCACAGTATTCAGGGAGGACACATTTATTGGCAGAATTTTCATAATAGCCGTCAGGGCAGAAAAGTCCAGATTCACAAACAGCGATACAACTATCTGGTGCAGCTTTGCCACAAGTTAAGCGACAAGGAGATCCACATTCTTTGTAGACCTTTTCGACGGTATTAGGTTTTGATTCGCTTGGTGTGGAATCGACAGGAGTTGGAGCTGAATCACAATCTTCTAGGAGGACACATTTACCTTGAGAGTTTTCATAATAACCTTGAGGGCAGAAATAATCAGCTTTACAGATTTTGATACAATTTCGTGGTTTAGGTTGTGCACAAGTCAAAGGACAAGCGGTTCCACACGAATTATAAACCTTGTCGGCTGTTCGAGCCTTAGATTCACCTGATAATGGAGCCGATGAATTAGCTACTGCAGAAGCAAATGAATCCGCTGAAGCGACAGCAGAAGCTTCATCTTGAGCTGAAGCGATTAGAACAAAACAATTGACAACAATTGAGATAATTAAAAAGCTCATCTTGATTAACTGTTAACAAACAATCTGATCACTTGTAAAGTAACAATTAATCTCATGGGCCAACCTAAAGAGACCTGATATTCATAACAAATTTGTTTACATGATTGAAAGTCATTAATTATTATAATCACTCATAGCATTTGTATGAATCGAAATTAAGTTTCCATGACAGAATCGAATTAAATCTTATCCATAACTGTTATGATATGGTTAGAGATAGATTTAGTTAACTTGATGAAAGTTTTTCCAAAGCTGATGAAAAGTTTGAACACATCGAATTGAAATCCATCAATGATTGAGAATCCAAACCAAAGACCCAAAATACTTCCGATATAAATAAGATAATCGACCAAAGGAAATGCTGGATAAGCTATGATTCTATGTTCAGGCTCTATCGGTGCTTTCAAGGCAAAAACACTCATACTCCGATTATTTTCGCTAAATAAATATTTCTGAAAGAATTTAGTCTTCCACTCATTTTGAATGAAAGTCATAGTAAAAGTGTTATGTTCACATTCAGGATCTCGAACTGTTTCAAGGCAATTTCGATAAGTTTCATTTTTAAAAGTTAAATCGAAAGTATGATTTTCATACTGATCATACATTTTCTCTTCGTGTAAAACATAACCAACTAAATGACCGAGTGTTAAAGCAGATCATCTTGGAAAGTACCGTCCAAAATTAAAATGGAAAGACCCTTCAACGTTACGAGAGATGTCAACGATACGAAGCAGATGTGCCAAGAAAACTTTGAGCTAATAAACAAAAAGCTGGATGGACTTACGTCCCTTGTGAGACGTACGTCTAACGTATGTGCGTCGAACAACGAAGCCAAGGAAAAATTTGAGAGAGCAAATGATTATGAAAAACTGCAAATGTTACCACAAATTGTTCCTGATTACGCAAAGACGTTTACGAGCCTCGTAGTGAAACAACAATTGCGAAAGTAACTAGATGTCACCACCTGTTAACCACCACCAGTATAAATACCCCGCAAATTTTACAAGAAGTTGTTATTTTTAAAGTTACCGTTCAAGAGCCAACATCACCCCTCTTTCCACTTGTGCAACACAAGTTATAAATACAACCAAATCAAGTCGACACACAACAATCTTTTAAAACTATTTTAAATACGCAACGTACACCTACGTCACCCATAGCCGCAACATGGTTAAACCTTCAATGGTAAAAGATCTCCCTAAACCTGCTACGTCCAAAGAAGCTCGTAAATCCCCCATTAAAAAACCAACTACGCGTCCAGCTATAGCTCCGGCAACAATTGTACTTGTTGAATTGCAACAATCGCTGGTGACTTTGAAAAATCAAGTCAGAGAACTTCAAAACGTATTGGACCGTAAGACAAATAGAATTATGGAAGAACTTGAGAAAGTCAGGAAGAAGAAGTCAAGGAAAGAAAAGAAATCGACAAGTGGACAACCAAGTATCGAAAATGTGAAGAATGTTGTGTATTTCTTTGATGAAAAGAGAGGAACTTCCATATTGAAAATAATCACCCTGGGAAAGAGCAAAGGACCTTCGCATTGCAAAGTACCACATGGATAAAGAAGTATACCGTTTTTATTGAAAACTAATCTTGATAAAATGGAGCTGAAATGGCTATTAATGGCGAAACCGACGAGGACGAAGACGCACCAGCGAATGCGACTGTGGCTTGATACGGACGTACAAGTATTTTTAATGTAACTTTAACTTGAATTTTAATCAATTTTTCAATAGTTTTAAAATGATTTCCCCCTATATTATGTATCCCTCCCTCAAATCAGATGTAATCAATTTCAAAGAAAATGTTTATCTTTATATATTCACGAAGTGCGTAGAGTAATCCAGACTCTCACTTCAGTTTAGAAACTAACCTGTACACCTACGCACCTACGTAGCAGGTCCGAAAATCTTTTATATTTGTAATCAAAATTGTAACAGTTACTAACCACTGTATTACGAAGTGCGTAGAGAAACTCTAGCACTTCACTTAATCACTTATGTAACCCAAATACGCACGTAGTTGCACCCTTCCCTCAATCAAACTTATAATATTGTATTCCCCTAAAAAGCAAATTGTTAACTTTGTACGCACGTATTAGTACGATGCTTCTTGTAACGTAACGCAGTTACGAACCTCTGCCGGTAACGGGCAGAGAGTCTACTTACTAATCAAATAAACCGTGAAGGGTTCGTACGAACCTGGAACTATTTGCAAAAAAAAAAAAAAACTAAATGACCTGGATTATGGATCAAAGTATTCGCATTGATACACTTTTGTAAAGTAGCGATTCTATCATAGTGCCGACAATTAGTTTCGTATGGATATTCAAGTGATTTTTGACTCATCTTTCTATAGCTAATAAAGTTGTGTGACTTATGATCACTTATTGTAATATAAGATTCAGCTGATAAACTTGGAGCTAGGTCGAAATCGCTTAGTCTTACACCGAATGGTATTTCTAGTGTTAACCTTATTAAAGCATAAGTATCAACTCCAGACAAATCAGCTCTATTCTGTTTAAGCACTTTGCCGTTATCTCTACAGTCTAATCGATAAAAGACTGCGAGAGAATTAATATAAAGTTTTGTTTTGCACTTTCGATTGTCATAATATCCAAAGTCTTTCCAGGCAATAGCAAAACCGAAATTGGATTTTGGAGCAATATTTACAATATCTCCAAATGTGATAAACTTGACTGAATATTCATTAAAATATAAAAGTTCAAAATTCGCATTTTCACAATTAATATCAATCGATTTATTGCTGTTTCTATCGTAACTGTTTCCAGTAATATTTAGCATTTCTTCTGGATGCCAGTAACATAATTCCGTCAAATTAACAATAGTTGTAAGTGGAACTCGAAAATCAAACGCTGGTAACTCAACATACGTTCTATACTCGAATGAGACATCGTTTCGAACTTTGAAACTAAAATATTCTTTCGTAATAATGTACAATTGGACCAAACAACCAATTAAACAAATAAATTTAAAGAAAATTAATTTGTTGTATAGAAATTTCATCTTTTTTTATTGAACTCAGTAACTGAAATGTTGACAATTTTTCTCAATTCAATTCGATCTTTACGAAGATTGATTGAAAGAAAACATTATCAACTACAGAATTATTGAATAAATGAATTATTTAATTATCGCTTGATACCGAAAACGCAGGATCTCTGACAGTTGACTGGCAGTGACTCTGAAGAGAAAAATCAATTTTCATCTATGGAGGAATATCCAAAATGGAGGATTGGCAACACTTTGATTGTTTCGATTTTTTGACGATAGAAATGAAATCTTGTTTCGACCAATAATCGATTTCAATCTTCTCCAAAAATTAAAGAGGCGAATTTTTTCCAATATTTTGAAACCAAATCCATTGATTAGTCCATCGAATATCGAGAATCCAAACCAAAGACCCAATACACTTCCAGCATAAATCAGATATTCTATCAAAGGAAATGCAGAATATGCTATGATACTATGAATCGGTTCTGTTGGCGCCAAAAGAGAGAAAATGTGGATATTCGAACTATCGTTACGTTTCAATGCTTCTTTTTTGAGAATTTCTAATTCTTTGGAATTCTCTTTAGTAGTTAGAGAATAAGTTATGCGTTCACACTGAGGATTTTTATTTTTCTCTGCACAGTAATCGTAGATTCTACCTGGAAGTTTAGTCTTGAAATTTTTATTCTCATCTGCTAAAGATTTTCTCAGAAATAATAGAAATGCGTTCAACGAGTTGTTGTATTCTGTTGATAAAATACTAGAAACACAACGTTGAAGGCTCTTTTTCTTATCATAATTGTTACAGTTCGTTTCGTAGGGATATTCGAGTAATTTAACTAGTGTTTTCTTATATTTTAGGTAGTGAGCTGATGTTTTTCCATAAATAGTTGCATATTCCTCCTCCGATTGACTTGGCATTAGGTTTCGATTGCTTAAGCGAATACCAAAAGGCGCTTTAAAATTGAATTTAATGGATGCATAAGCGGCATCTTCGAGAAGTTCAATTCGCTCGAGTGTCAATATTTCATTTCTTTTTTTACATGAGAATCGTACAAAAACTGCCCAAGCATCAAGATAAACGCTCGATTCACATAGACCATTTTTCTTTAAGTCAATAGATTTCTCAATATTCCAATGAATTGAATAATCAAAATTTTCCATTGTAAATTGATGAACAATATCACCATAAGTCAAGAACGAAACTTTAAATGCTCCTAAGTGTAATAACTCAGCGACCATTTTCGAGCATTTCTCAATCATCGGTAATGACTTATCAAGCCATGTTTGTTCTCCGGCATTGATTTCTCGATCTAAATCAGCCATTCCAATCGGGTGACGATAACACAACTCCGTCGAATTGATGAAAGTAGTAAGTGGTATTCTTATATCGATAGCTGGTAACTCGACTGTCTCAGAATATTCGAATGTTACATCATTTCGAACTTTGAAATCTAAAAAGTCAGAAGTTATCACGTATAATTGAGCCAAACACCCAAGCAAACAAATCGATTTAATGAGAATTCGTCTAGTGAAAATGTTTTTCATTATTATTTCTTAATTTCGTTTCTTATTTTGTTTATAAGAGTATTTTAGATTTGGATAATAACTAAGAGAATTACTTTTCTAAGTCGTTGCTATTATTTCATTTCTTTTTACACAATCAGATATATTAACATGAAATGGAATAAAAATGTAATAAATTGTATCTAAAAAGAAATTTAATTATTAGAAGTATTGATTCAGTTCGATTTAAAACTTAATGACTATTGATGAGATCTTAACTATTTCCCAACGATGACTTTTCTATCAATAATCTTGTTACATGATTAATTAGAATTGATCGACTTGTCAGTTCAATTTAATGAATGGATCAAGATCCATATGATATTGAGAATAATGAAAAAAAGAATTTGGAAAGTTTATCTTGATAATTAGTTTTACGATAAATCGATACGAATATTTCAATTGTTATTACAGCTGAACTTTATTCATCTTTAAACATTCATCACGATGATCGTCACTGGTTAAACTGTTCATATTGACCAAAGCTTTTTC